CGACACTTCACGTAGCCACAATGTGCACATGGCCTGGCACAAGCGTCGTGGTGACGTCACCGCCACTTAGTGGCGAATGGAGGTTGTTGTTGTTGATCCCGACCCTGGCGCCTGTACATATGGAGTTTGCACGTTGATTGTTATCTTGTTTTCCCCTCCACATTTCGAATCATGCGTTTAGAGTATTTGGTTGCGACACATTTCGACATGAGGAACCGTTTCGTTGAGCTATTATTTGTGATAAGTCGCTTCTGAAAAATAACTATAAACCTCAGTGGGCCTTACGTGGTAATATAAAATAGTTCAGATTCAGATGGTGGTGGCTTGGGGAGGCCTTCATCCAGCAGTGGAAAGATCATGTCTGATGATACATTATTTGCTATCGCCATATGCTGTGGACATTATGGATGTGCGTGTTTTCACCACAGTAGATTAGGACGGCCCCGATATAAGTGAGCAATGCTCAGTGGTCGTTTGAGTAACAAGGGGCCATGTTTTGTTGGTAGTGAATGTTGGTGGTGGATGTTTCTTGGTAAACGTCGATGGTAAAACTGTGACCACGGTCGTCTTCGCCAGGCCGTCACCGTTCCCAGTGCTGCCCTTAGGAATGAATTACCTCTCACCATAGTGAATATTGGGTTCCATTTCAGGCTGAACTGACCTAGGTGCAGTTCTCATGAGATCGCACAGCGCAAGGCATTACACGTTCTTACAATTACCCCAACGTATCAGCTTAGATGTGGATAATCCGATACCATGATTTGTTTCATGACAATGCTATCGCTGTTATGGCCAAGTCATTGTGACTTTTCGTGTCGACTCTATTTAGAAATGTTTTTATCGGAGGTGGCTGGGTGGCGGCCATCGATAGTCACCTTGAGTCAACTTTGGCCTGCCATAACCTGGTCATCACAAACTCAGGCCCCACCAGAGCTTCGTCAACAAACGTTGAGAGCATGCTCGACCTGGTTCTGGAACCTAACCAGCACCGACGCATCACTGCACTGGGAGTTTTCCAAACTGGTTACTCTGACCACCGCCTTATACTTTCTTCCCTCCATTTTCCGAAGCCAATCACCATCAAATTCACCCGCAACTTGCGTAATTTTAAGGGTATCGAATTTTCTGCTTTTCGTCACCTCCTTGCAAACTCGCTTTCAATGTTATCCCCATCATCGGATCCAACCGTCTGCGCTCTCCAACTAGAAGCTGACATGAGGGCGGCGCTGGACAAACTAGCTCCATTAAAATCACGAACCGCTAGGCAGTCTTCTCACGACACTCACTGGCTCTCAAGAGATGCCATCATTGCTAAGCGAACCAGGAGGCGTCTTGAACGTATCGCATCCCGCAGTGGTCTACCTGCTGATCGACTTGCTTACAGAGTCGCCTGCAGGAAAACTAACAAACTGATCCTTGTCTCACGTTCCTCCCACATTGAGGAACGCATCAAAAAAGCAACCGGAAACCCGCGCATTCTATGGAAAACTCTCAAAGATCTTCTCCATCCTGGTAGCACCATGGTCCCTCACCTTAGCGATCCCCTTGCCTCACTGAAACTTGCCACCTCTTTTAATACTTACTTCAACAACAAGCTAATCGCCGTCGCAAACTCGTGCACGTCTACTGACACATTGCACCATTGTACCCCGCTCATGGTACCTAAAATTGTAAGCACTAACCCAGACACTCTTCTAACTATGCTAAAGCCTGTGTCTACAAAAGACGTTTTCGCTTTAATTGAATCACTTCCTTTGAAGTCATCTCCACTCGACGTGCTCCCAGGTTCCTTGTTCAAGCAATGTGCTCCGGAACTCGCCATCATGATCAGGAACATCGCAAATGCCTCCTTCTCTTCGGGGTGTTTTCCGTCCAACCTCAAATCTGGCCTGGTTTCTCCCTTGTTAAAGAAACCAAATCTAGATCCGGATGACCCATCTAGTTATCGTCCCATCACTAACCTCTCGAACCTCTCTAAACTCCTTGAACGACTAGCCCTCGCCCAGCTACAACCACACGTCACCTCCTCCGCAAACTACTGCAACTTCCAGTCAGCTTACCGTCAAAACTATTCCACAGAAACAGCACTCACTAGGGTGCTCGATGACATTTTAACGATCGTTGATTCCGGCTCAACTGTTGCACTTGTAAGTCTGGACATTTCGTCAGCCTTCGACACCATCAACCATTCGCTCCTTACTTCCCTCCTGAAATCCGACTTCGGTATATGCGGCTCAGCACTCAAGTGGATAGCTTCGTACCTTTCTGACCGGCAATCCTCAGTCAGGGTGGGCATGTCCACATCGCCTGAAACAAGAGCATTATGCGGGGTTCCCCAGGGCTCTGTTCTAGGTCCCCTGCTCTTCACAGCCTACACTTCCCCGATCGGCCGACTCATTGCAAGCTTCGGTGTTAAGCATCACTCATACGCGGATGACACGATTCTATTCACCGTCATCGATTCTAGCAATGCATCTGGATTCGAGAGGCTCTCGGAATGTACCACCGCCGTGCAACAATGGTTCACTGCACACAACCTAGCCCTTAATCCGAAAAAGTCAGTGGCCATCATGTTAGGTACCAAGCAACGTCTCAATTCAGCAGCACTCCCCACACACATACACATCTTCGGTCATAGCATCAAGTTCACCAACCACTTCAGCTACCTCGGTGTCATCCTAGATTCAACTTTATCCTTCGACCGTCAAACCAACCATATCATCAGCTCATGTGACTTTCACCTGAAGGCTCTTAGACACATACGTCCTCTCATCTCTACTGAAATTGCCAACACTTTGGCATGTTGCATAGTTGGGTCTCGCCTTGACTATTGTAACTCCGTCCTTGTCCGGACCTCCGCTGGCAACCTAAGGAAGCTTCAAAGACTACAAAATAACCTAGCACGCGTCGTCATTGCCCACACTCATCCCCGCCTCGACTCACTAGCTCGTCTCCGCGCTCTCAACTGGCTCCCCATTGCCAGTAGGGTCACATACAAGACCGCCTGCCTCTGCCACAATGCCTTCATATCCGCCTGCCCGCCGTACCTTTCTTCATTATTGACAACTTGCAGCTCAGCACACGGCAGATGCCTGCGCAGCGCGACTCACGACCTCCTCTCAATACCAAGATCCAGGATGGTCATGTCTACGCGCCGCTTCTCGGTGGCAGCCCCAACAGTCTGGAACGATATCCCTCTGCACATTCGCAGCATCACCTCAATCGCCTCCTTCAAGAGACACTTAAAAACTCACCTCTACAATCATGCTTTTGAGCGACTCTGAGCTTGGCTCCGCGCCTCTGAGTTGCGGCCACTACGTCTGCAAATTTGCGCGCGTTACAAATTGTACTATTATTATTATTATTAAGGAGGCTCATAATGGATGCGTCAGAGCTCTGAAGTCGATCCTGCGTTGAAAGTCTGGGCGTCAGCCACTCGTGGTTTAATCCCGAGCGGAGTGATTTTTTTTTATCGGATCGATCTGCACAACCGAAAAAAAAGTTATTCGGCTGAGCGTTGCACATCCCAGCTCCTACGACTACATATTATAAATATGAGGAAGATTAATATTAACTCAAAGCATACTGGGCACATAACAATAATAAAAGACGACATAATTGAAAACAATAACGGTTCCTATTATTGTTGGACTGAGTCACAGACAACCGAGTCACCGTAAACGCAGCATATCTGACTACTACACGTCTACCCTGACCAAATAACCAGCCACATCAAGTGCTGAATGTGTACCACGGTGCAACTGGAATTCTCGAGAGCTGGTCGCACATCCGACCCGGTCACATATCCGCCTTTATCTCAGTTGTCGCCGAGTCGAAATTTGCGACATTGCAACTGTATTAAAATCTGTTAACAAGATTAGAAGGAAAACCTCAACACCTTCGTCATTGACTCTGTGGCCTTAAAACTGATTTTTGTTTTTACATAACAGGTGACCTTTCGTGCAATGGCTCTTCTTCATAGATGTAGGTAGGTGCTACGATACGAATGGCCATTGCTTGAAACATCACCTATTCGCCCCTCACAGTGTTGTTATCGACGAACGGACCGAGTTTCGTTGTCAAGCTCGCGTGTTCACCGCTGCCAATGCGGAAGCAACATCACCAAATGACCAGTTTTTTTTTCAAAATACAAATGTAGAGGATGTTCCGGACATCTTCACACACAAACACGGGTTAAGGGTCAGGGGTCACGGGAGCACTGCCGTGCACGACACGTAATCCGACGATTGAGTGGAGGACACTGATCGAATTGGTGCGAGAAGGATTATAATGATTATAAAAGGGCAGGAAAAATAAGGCTTATAAAAGGGCTGGATATTAAAGTGAGCGGAGTTGGAGAGCTCCGAGGTCGGTTTTTGATGACGAGTGAAAGTGTGGTGTGAATTGGCGTTGAAAAACAGGTCCCTGCGGGGTGGGCTGGTAGGAACGAACAAATGAATGGCTATAATAAAATGAAATGGCGGGGGTACGATACGAAGGGAGAGTTTGAGGCCTAGTTCTAGGCTTTAGGCCTAGCTGTAGGCTTTAGGCCGCTGTGAGTTAATTTTGAATTTAAATGTTTCAATTAAAAACTATCTCAGGGAATTATAAGGGAATGTTACACTTGTTTAGCCAGGAAAGCCTCACTGAGTCTAAAGGTTTTTGTAAGGTCCTGCCAAGTGTTTGCAGTAGGGGGCGATGTTGCTACACCTAATCAGATATCGGATGGACGGACGATATAATCTATTGTAGGCTGGTTCACTTGGTTCCTACCAGTAAAAGGGCTGGATATTAAAGTGAGCAGAGTTGGACAGTTCCGAGGTCGGTTTTTGATGACGAGTGAAAGTGTGGTGTGAATTGGCGTTTAAAATAAAGATCCTTCTTAACCAGCTCGTCTCCTCTTCACAAACGACGCTCAAATCGCGCACGGAGCGTGGGGGATGATCTTCTGCCTCTCGAGGAGACGTTCTCCGGCAAACGCAAGATTACGGCACTGCAAGGTGAGCGCATTGAATTTTTATTGATCCGTTTCCACGCATGACACAGCTAGCTGCCATGCACACACACACCTCAGAGCGCAAAACAAACAAAAACATTTTAAAAGAGATAAAAACAAACAAAAAAAAATCGAAAATAGATAAAAACGACGGACAGAATTACTCGAAACGCCGAGCACGTGCAGAATGAATAACGACGACGAGCGGCATCACCACGACGCACGGGGAACCCTTGAGCCATCGGGAGCCCATTCTAAGTGACGCGACCACGGCGTGCCCTTTGACCTGTGATTTTGGGAGCTAATGTCAGCGACGCAAGCCAAGAACTGGGCCAATGAAGCGATGAGGTCTGGGGATCGCAAATCGACCACTCTTTGGTGGTTGCCCCCACCCCACCCATTCGGCTTCCCACCCCCTCCGTCGAAGGTGGGAAACCCCCCCCTACCACCACAGGGCACTTGGTGACCTCACACCACTGGCAATGACGTCACCAAGCCTCGCCCATCAGCTGCTGTCCGGTGGGGAACAGGCGGGGGGAAAACTTCGATGCTACCAACTATTTTCGTGTTTTCCCAATTAGTCGAGAAAACGAACCGATAGATCAATCGATCACGTCAATCATCATAAAGCCCAGCTCAAGTAGACGCCAGGTCACTGTGTGAAAAAGACGTAGCCTTTGAAATGCACCGTTGACATTTTACTACTCCTTACCGCTGTCCTGCTCATTTGTATACAATTATATTGTCCTCCTGTTTTTGTTTATAAACCTGACATTTTCAAATGCGGCTATGGATTGATGCACATAAATAAAAAAAATCTACCAGACATACGATTACATAGCGTTTGCTTACATTAGCGACTAAAAGAATATTCCTTACGTGGATAAATACGTTTCTAAAAATGACACTTTAAATGTTTGTGCACATGCTAAAACTTGCAGCAATATATAGAAAAAGGGCCCACTTTGTTATTAACCGGGAAAGGCAATTCATTTTTTTTAATGCCAAGAACTGTTGCAGATTGTATCGGACGAGTCTTGTGACAAAATGAGGCACTACTCTTTTTTCAAGTTGCAAGGCAAACCGTTGGTCTGGGTGTACAAATGTTCGCTTAAAATATACTGCCCCTGACGAACGCAGATCCTGGGAACTGGGTTCACACGAACCGAATGCCGCGCGACCGCATTCAGCATTTGCATCTGCACTTGCGTAGCGGTTTAAACAATTATGCTTTCTTAAGTCATACATTTTTGATTTTTTTTCCCACCCAAAACAACATAAAAAATATAACCAACAACCACCCATTAAAAATAAGACCGACTATTGACAATGTATAAAATGATCCCATATTCTCCTTTGGCAAAACATAAAAAAAATACCTGTCACATTATATATTATTATTATTGTTAATGCAAGGCTTTCGTAAAAACGGCATACAACGTCCAGCAGGAATTGAATGCAGAATCAGAGAGGGGGGTTCTCTGTTTTAGAGTTACTCGGTATGCACCAATTCACCATCGATTCAAACCCGAATCTTACACCGACGACAAACACGCACGTACGTGCACGAACCATGCACCTTCAGGATCCGATGTTATTTTCCTGCGTCGATTCTATGGAAATGTGACCGTCACGAACAAGAAAAGAAAGCAGTCTAACCTTGATTCGAACCGTGACCCCCACCCCCGAAGGTGAGACAATCCGTCGAAGAAGCGGAACGTTAAGTCACACACACACACATAAGTTACTGCATACAACACCGTGGGGGTCGGAGGTGGGGTTGAATATCCGTGATGACTTCGCACGCGAATGAGGCTCGTAACGCCCGCTCAGCAAATGACCGTGCACACATTGCAACAAGTGACGGCACGGCGATTATCAACGACAACTGCAAGCAGCACTGCTGCTGTTCTATTTTTCCACGAAAACATGCGGCGCGACCGAAGCACCGTCGTACACGGGACAAAGCGACTCAACCCTGATTGGCAATGTCAAAGCATGGGCTACCCACCTTACATAATATATTAGCGTATTCTGTGGACTATAAGAAGCACTTCCCGCCATACGTAGCTAACCAGATTGAGATTACTTTATTCCAGAGTGTCTTATACTCCGGAGAATACGGTAATGGACTTCACAACATCCCGTACGATCCTGCAGGATTTTACAACATTCAAATAAAATGTGTTTAATGCACTCCACTGATAGTGTGGTGCCAATGATAGAGCTGCCTGGCCAAGCAGCTTGGGAGTGGTGGGGCAGGTGGATCACTCTGGAGCGCTGAGCGCCACCGGTGATATTCATGGGGCATCCACTTCCGAAGGGACATGTATGAGGAAGTACGGCAAGTAGGTCGTTGCAGAGTTGGAGTAGTCACCTCTTGGAATTGTGGGCTTTCTCCGGGGACCCAGTCTCCTCTCACAATCTAAATTTTAAAATATTAAAATAGGCAATGGCCAAATATCACAACGAGGACCAAATTCGGAACATGAGTTTTGTGGATGGATATTTAAAATGATTAATGTGCCAACCTTTAATCCGAGCTATTTAAACATTTTCCAACCTATGGGTAGTATAAGTGAAATGCATCTACTGAGCTCGATGACACCATCTGTTTTTAAAGGGTATCCAACGTTAACATTTTGCAAAAGGACATTCAAATCCATTGCAAATTGCCCCCCCCCCCTAATGGGAATAATGTGGAATTTCCAGCGATGGCTCCGGGCCACCAATGGAGATGAGTGTTGAATGCAAACCCCCCAATGCTTGACTGAGCAGGGAACTTTACTTAAATAACATTTAAAATTGCATAGTAGATGCGACACTCAAGATGCAAAAGGCACTTCCATAATCCCCAATTAAATTACAAAAAAGGGTCTTCTTGAAACAAATCCATTTCACCGACGTCTCCTCGTGTTCTCAATGGGGCTCTGAACACCGTTTTAAATATAGGTGACATCTGCACAAGGCGCAGAAAAACCCGACACATTGTAACTCCTGCACGATAATACAGTATGCTTGCTTTAGAGACAATTAAGAAAGTTTGCGAATGCTGAAGACTATCAAACCAAATTAAACCTAAGTAACATGGTGCCTCGTTCGTGGATAACTACTTTAGAATGTTTAACAACATCGTTGACATTTGAATATACATGATTAACATAATGAGCTGAAGTAAAACAAAAACATTGGTGCTGTTGTTAAATGAATGTTGTACACATTTAAAGACAGCCCACTTGTATGCAAACACCACCACCACCACCACAGAAATGTACATTACATACGGGCTATACCTCTCAAGTAAATATTTACTCGCAACGAAATCCACTGACATTAATAAAAAAAGCTATTGCATATCAACATTACTTTATTTCCATTTCGAATGGCTAACCCTTGCAGCAGCTTCACAAAAAAGAATTTGCAGGAGATATTTTGCTCTTCTTTTTTTTAAAAGGTGCCTTAATGTTTAAATTAGTTCCACCAGCAGAGGTTTAAACGCTCACGAATACACCACCAATCGACTCGCACACAGCATGCTCGTCACTTTCCTCAATATACTACCCACGGAACTGGACCGCTTCAAGGTCGCGCAACAAGCAAAGGCCACAGTGGGAGAGCAGCACCGGTCCCCAAGAAGTAATGAACGAACACGTATACCGCATATAAACACACACACACACACGCATACACACACGCACACGCGCATACACACACGCGTACGCAACTATCAATTGACCTTTTCGTTGAGGAGGTAAAATAGACAGTAAGCATAACAGGTCATCTCGGGAGACCAAGATTTTGCTCATGTTACGATTTTTTTTGCAAGGTTGAAAAAAAAAAGCATTTTTATTATGATAATATATAAAAAAACACCCCAGCCTTAATTGTGCTGCATATTTTGCAATGACAGAAAAAATCTGGAGCAGATTTCTTTTCGGAGTCGTCTCCCGTGTTCCATACACTGAAAAGCGAGTAATTGTACTGATGTTTTTTGTCTTGTAGAGTAAAAAAAAAGATAAAAAGGCAGCACGTGCCCAAAACAGCAAGACGAGAAGAAGTCCGTTTCGAGTCACCGTAACATCCCCGAGACGGCTTTTGCGTTAACGCCGATAATGACGACGGCGACGATGACTGTGATGAACCGGTGCGTCTGAATTCTGCTAAAATCCCATGAAACTTCCTCAATCGACAATAGTGCAGCAGCAGCAGTAGCAGGCGCCATCCACCACCAACAACATCATCTTCCAAAAAAAAAACACGGGGCCATCTTTATTCCCTACGTCTTGCGTCTTCACTTACGTCAGCTTCCTCATCGCGCAATTCCATCGCCAAGACGATTTCAGTCCCGTTTGGATTCCCCTGCCGGGGAAAAAAACGTAACACGAACGGACAGACGCGCACGCGCGCGCGCACGCACGGTCGCTATCGGCGTCAGCGTCGGCGCGAGATCTGGGCACGCGGCCCCGGCAGCAGCGCATCGTTCAGCTCGGCCATGAGCGCCAGCTCCTCGGGCGGCAGCAGCGAGAACTCCACGCAGAAGGTGAGGAGGTGCGCGTAGAGGCTGTTGAGGTGCGAGTGCACGTCCAGCGCCACCGTCTCGCGGAAGTGCGCCCAGTACACGTGGGCGAGCACGTGGAACAGGTAGCGGAAGATCTTCTGCACGTACGAGTTGAAGAAGTTGGGGAAGTCGCGGCCTGCCGGGTGCATTAGGTGGGGGGCGGACGGGCGGGCGGGGGACGGGAGGGAGTAATCGATTAGAATCGAATCGTTGGTACGTTCGGTGGCCGCACCACTGTTATAGCAGCTTGGTGACGATGGCAAAGGTGCTGTGTTTTCGCAGGCAGGGCGAGTCTGCAGTGGTTTCACAGCAGGGCGATGTTGCCATGCAGTCTGACACAATTGGCGAAAGCCGAGAGTCATTTTCGAATCTGCCAAGATTTGGACCGTGACGGGCCTACCCGTTTCGGACGGCGACACGGCAACGTCACCGTCCGCTGTGAAGCAGTCGCCACGTGTCTCTGGTGAACGGGTCCGCGGGATTAACCAGGGCGGCCGCTGGGCTCGAGCGACGAAACCTTTGCGACAACCCCGCGAACGCGCTGCCACTCGGGCCAACGCCGCCGCCCCCGTCCAATTGGTTAGTCAGTGAGTCGTCGACTTCGCTGGCTACTTGGCGATTCGGTAGGTTTATTCTTTACTCGTCGACGAACGCTTTCAGGCCGGTTGCAGCCGCGTTTTCGAACGCCCGACTAGCAATATAAAGCGCGCGAGTTCAAATCCCGGTCAGGGAGTCAGCCAACTCGGCCCATCATCCCCTCTGGGGTCGATTAAAATAAGTACCACCTTGTGGCAAGTTATTCTGTCTAGTGAATAGCCCCCAACCTGTAGAGAGCGACATTTCCACCACTGCCTTAGGCCTGCAATGGATGTAAGCGCCGCCGCAGTGCCCACCGTACGCGCGTGATGGGGACACCGCGACTTTTTGGCAACGAGCGAACTTCACAAAGCCAAGGGGTGGGGGGGGGGGGAAACACACGGAATTTTCATCGGCGCAGCTGGAGGCGAAATACGCCTACGTCGATCACTTCCCCCCGTCGAATTGACGGCTACGGTGGGAAACCCAGGCCAAACGGGGAAAGGGAAAAATCGCGACGATCGACGCGCGTCTCACCGTATTTGGTCGGGAAGATCTTTTCGTCGGTGACGAGGCGCTGCACATAGCACATGACGTAGTCCACGTACTGCGGCCCCGTGCACTTGAGCTTCTTGCCACGCTCGCCCTCCTGCCAGTACAGCTGCCTGCGGTCGGGAGGCGGGGGAAGGGGGAGGGTGACAGCGGCTCGCTCCGTTAGGACGTCGCCATCGAGGGAGGCGGCGAGGTTGACCACGTGGCTCACGGGGTCAGAGACACTGAGCTGACCCCCCCGGGGGGGAGGTTTCTCGAGCGATGGGTCTCAACCTGGTCGGCAAAAACTAAACAGCAACACCCCTTTGTGTATATTCTTGGGTCTTTCGGTAAAGTTACGTAGATAGGTTCAAAGAAAATAATCAAAATTAACAGAAAACTACGACGTTTCGATCGCAACGCAAGCAGTCGTCTTCAGGAAAACGACCGCATGCGTTGCGATCGAAAGGTCGTAGTTTTCTGTTATTTTTGATGATTTTCTTTGCACCTACGTGACTTTACTGAAAGACCCAAGAATATGAATTCCTGCAGTCATGAAAGCTTTAAGTCAAGATTGACCCCCCTTTGTGTGGTTGTTGACTTCTGTTGATCTGATGGTGGACCACGAAGCTCGTGGTCCAACATAAACCGCATCCGTGCAAACCATGGCTGATGCGGATGCCTGATACACCTCCGATTAGCATGGTTGGTTATGTACCATTCGAAAGAAGTTCAACATACATATATATACATGCACAAATGGAAAATGTAAAACTCTCCAGTATGTGACTCTGGTCATCCAGAACAGACGTGCAACGTATAACGACACAATGCCCCCATCCACAAGCACAAAGGAGACATCACAGCGACGATACACTCCGCTGCTCCTGCCGCAGTTATCTGGCTTGACCACCGGAATCCTGGGTTTAACTGGGCTGAACTGTATGAGAAAGCTCACAGATCCTTGAAATATCTAAACATTGTCCCATCAGGCTAGGATGCATTGGCTGGGTCATGTAGCCTGCAATCCAAACTAATGAATGCTCAAAAAACACTTGTGTGTCTGGCCGGATAGAGGGGGCTAAATAAGCATCGCAAACGTTGGATAAAGAGATAAGAGTGGTATGTGTTGCAGGGAGACTTGAAGCTGAGCAAACTTAATGACTGGAACCAGCGGTGTCAAGATTTACCTCCGCGGCGGGGACTTGTGAAGGATGGTACTGGGCAGTTATAGGCAGCTTGTGCTCACATAAAAACAAAAACTGCAGGAAGACTAGCGATGCTCACAAAAATGGCAGAGTGCCAGGTGGCTAAAGCATAGCAAGGTGGCATATTGGAAGGGTGCAGGTGGTGCATCTGCCAGTCATCTCAGTCGGTTAAGCTCGAACACCTGGGTCTGTATTCTGGCTTCCTGCCAGCACTTCAGGTGGCCTCCCGCAGTCTACCCAGCCTGGAAAAAATGCCACAAGTCAAAACGTCTGCTCCTCTACCTGAAAATAACAGGGGCTTGCTGTCGCTGCGCATGAGCGTCCGTATGCACGTGCAATTATAAACCGAGTGGCCTCCGGCGACAGTGAATCACCCTGAGCCGGAGCAAATCGCCCGGAATGCATTCCGATTTCATCAGATCTCAGGAAACGTAGCAGGCAGGGTTGGGCCTGCACTGTGGTCAGATGGGCGGTCACGGCCACGCACGAGAGGTTGTCATCGGTTGTGAAGCCATCAGCTGGGCAGCAGAGACCAGTGCAACCAATTTCACCGTTGTACTTCTCCGCTCCCCCGTCTACGCTTCACCAACCCGCACTGACCGGCACGGAGAAGTACGGTCAACAAAACTTCCCAGGACCCCGTACCGCATGGGGAGGCCCTCAAACGGCGGCGGATTCAAAAAAGGGCTGTGCCGTGTCCACGCACGTAAGCAAGCGCTGCCATCACAATCATCTGCACAATCGTCCTCGATGGACGGGCCGGCAGAACGATGGATGGACGGACCGAATGACGGATTGATGTACTGACGGATACAGGCAGGTCCGCGCGCCCGCGATAAACTCCGCGCTTTTCCGGACGGTGTCGCGTCGCCTGCTCACGGCGCGCTCGCTGGACCGCCCGGGTCAGGCGGTGCGCCGTGCAGGACAGCCACCTGATAGCGCAGGCCGCGTGCCACTAAAAATAGGCCGCGGGGCTTTGTGCTCGTGCCAAATGACTTCGATAACAAAGGGAGTCTGGTTACGGTCAAAGACAGCGGCCACAGTTTATACAGCGGCCCTGTTTAGACAGCGGTGCTGCTTCGTGCGAGTCTTGCCCTAGACTGTGCACTACGGGGATGTTTTTTTTTCGTAATGCAAAATGAGATGTTGTGATGTATGCAAATAAACTTAACGGTTTTCAAACCAAATCACAAAATGCGAGTTAATGGACCGAGATGATTAGCAGGTGCAACACCTGTGCTCCCCGCTGTGCCACCATGCACACACACGCGTGCGCACACACATACATGTGCGCGTGTGTCTTGAAGGTAAGACATAACAGACTGATGGGCCGAGTGCTATTAGCGAGCACTTATGAAGGCCTAAGCAGTGATCGTGTGGTCAGCACCACCCACAGCTGTCTCCATAGCGCCACGTACACACCACACCTGGTATTCATTTCAGGTTGAGTCGATACAGGGAAGGTCCAGGACCAGTTCAAATATTCCTCACAGATCTTTGGTCGTGAGCGGGAATCGAACTCAGGTGGGCTGAGGTAGCCGGGTTTGTAGAGGCTGCATGCTAACAACTACAAAGATAACCCGTATAGCCTTGACAGACTGTTGGGGCAAGTGCTGTTAGCGAGCACCTATGGAGGCTGGCACGGCACACGAGGAGATGGGTGACCAACACCGCGCCTGGCCACCTTTGTCTCCCCAGAGGCAATGTTTGCACACTGTACCAGATACTCATTTGAGGCTGAGTGGACCTAGGGGAGGCCCAGGACCAGTTCTGATAATCGTCACCGGTGATAGTCGTGAGCGGGAATCGACCTCGGGTCGCCTGGCTCGTAGCGCAGCGCGCTAACCGCTGCACCACCGCTCCCTAACTACAGTACATACATGGACACGCACACACAGACCCATGCAACTCATGAGCACAAGTATTAAACAATGGTCCTTTTGTACGTGGGCCTTGTTTGAATTACCAATTATCAGCTACTGGCGGGCCAAGTAACTGCAAGAACAACACTGCCTGTGCTCCATATGTTACCCCGGTGGTATAAATAGCCCTTGAAAGTTGCACAAAGCAGGTTTGTGAGGTTTTTTTTCTTTCTTTCTGCCTTTGCTTCCCAGATCTGGGCTAAGGTCCCAGTGAAGTGTGGGCCACAACTTGGGCTCCGGCACAGATTCCCTGGTGTCGACGTCCACCCACCCCTCACGCACAATGGTTCGCTCCAGAGTCGACGTCCACCCACCCCTCGCACGCAATGGTTCGTTCCAGAGTCGACGTCCACCCACTTCTGCGACGGTGGGACCATAACACGGGCGTGGGGTTGTCTGGACGAGAAGGATTTTATTCAGGATTTAGTCGCTTCCAGTTGGATTACCTTGCTGATCTCGTCAAGGAGCACAAACCCACTACGCGAGCTCCGGTCATCCTCGCAGCGACAGCTGCTTTGGGCTCTGCCATCGAACGAAGCCGTTCACTGCCACCGCGCCCTTTTTCAGGTGCACTTCTGCAGATGCCTGGAACCCCTCTTCCTTCCGATATTGGGAAGCCACACTGGAGCCTATGCACGTTTAGATCAGCTCGATTGAAAACTCACTTCTTCAGAACCGCTTTTGTGTTTCGCTTGTCGTCCTTCCCACGCGCCTCCAATTAGCGCGGTTGGCTAAGTATGGTACGAAAGAAGTTCAACATACACACGCTTTTATAAGCATGGCCGGTTGGTGCTGTGCTTTGAGCGCCACGAGTTGAGATCCTTATTGGGGGTCCGCCTCAGCTCATCATCATCATCCTGTAGTTGAAAAAAGATGCGGCAGTCAACAGTGGCTGTTCTATGAATAGACTGGGCCCCACCAAGGGAATGTGGAATTTACACCACTGGCTCCGGGCTGCCACTTGAGATGCACACCGCTCAGTGCTCAATCGATAATGGGGAGCAATTACGTTGGTGAAACGTACAAACGTGCGAAGTTTGTGCACTTCAGCTGAATGCGCGCCATCTTCTCGGGCTCTAGGGAAGCTCCGTGAGGCTTTGAGCCCGGTAAGTATTTGGTTGGGAGACTGCTTGGGAATAGCAGGTGATATAGGCTCGTGCTGCGAGGTGGCCAGGAGGTGGTGATGGAGCGGCGAGTTCTTAAGATCTGTCTGTCTGTGCGAAGCTCTGCGGGGGGGTTTCTCCAGAGACTTCCAGTTTCTCCCCCAAATGCCAATCACCCATGAATCAAATCGGCCAAATATCCCAATGCAGGGCCCTCGTGATCTGCTGATATAAATAAAAAAAGTAGTCTTGGGACTGAGTAAGGCTCTTTCCTGTCTAAAAACAAAGGGCATTCCTATCTTTTTTTTTGCATGCGTCTTTTGGTATTTAAATTGTGGCCCTTTACCCGCCCCGCCGATTATGTATGTTGAACTTCTTTCGCACCATACGTAGCCAACCGTGCTAACCAAGGTGCGGGGTAAGGACGAAAAAAGGATTAGCATGCATGGTTGGCTACGTACGGTGCGAAAGTTCATCATGCGTACATGATCGTTATTTCTGACTGTATTCTATTCATACAAAAATAATGTTGTATATTGACACATGATCTCCATGCAGCAAGAATCATCGCAGGGTCTTATGACAAATCGTTCTATTTTGGTTGATCGTATACATTCTATTGTACGTGTGCATGAGAAAACAACAATGCGTGGATTTACAAACTTTGATAATAATAAGAAATGATTTAATGTTATATTGCATTAATCACATAACATCAAAAATGACCACAATGGCCTTTATGGCTCTTAGCATATTAAACATTTCTCATGAATTACGGCGATGTATTTTTTTTTCCTCTCCCCACAAAGTACCCTTCTATTCCAATCTAATACATTTAGATATATGGGCTCACTGCTGTGAATTCACCACCCTCTTAATTCAGTATTTTTCCATTCAGCAG